AGAAGTTGGAGTGCTACGTAGATAAACAAGAGGAAGTCAGAGAAAATTAATAGAGGACTCTGCCAGATAATCAAAAGTCACAGATAGAGAGGACCCCTAGAGGCATGGTTTGGAGATAGTGCCTCTTGGAATACGTTAAGCAGCTCCCCCCTCCTCCTTCCCCTGAGGGCTGGTCTCTTTCAGGCTAAAAAGGGTCATATCCTGAGGTCAGATGGGCCTCTGCATTTGTTTGCTGATAATAACACAAAGTTGATGATTTAAAACACACACATTTAATCTCTTATAGTCTGAAGTGTGGTTTATTGCAGTGTTTTTCAACCGCTGTTCCGCGGCACACTAGTGTGCCGCGAGATGTTGCCTGGTGTGCTGTAGGTGCAGACAAGACAAGAATTTTATAATTTTTCACTATTTTGTTTACTTAATATTTCATAATAAAGTAATTATAAAATACTTTCTTTGTGTTTATTTGATTCCTATTCAAGAGAATTACTTTATATATAGTCAATATAGGCACAGAGTTAAATTTTTTAACATTTTCTAATGGTGGTGTGCCTCGTGATTTTTTTCATGAAACAAGTGTGCCTTTGCCCAAAAAAGGTTGAAAAACACTGGTTTATTGGACCATAATCATGATGTCAGGGCTGGGTGTGTGTGTGTGTGTGTGTGTGTGTGTGTGTGTGTGGGTGGGGGGGGGGGGTGGATTCTTTTCATTGTCTTTTCCAGCCTCTAGAGCTGCATTCCTTGCATTCCATGGCTCTTGAGTCCCTCCTCCCCCTTCACAGCATCTTATTTTAAGTGTTTTGTTGCCTTTTTATTCTGTGCAAAATGTATTTTGCCCTATAAGGTCACAGGATCTAGAAATTAGGACCTGGATATCTTTGGGAGCCATCATTCAGTTTGCCATAATCTCCTAACCAGGACCCTGCCACAGATAACAGGACAGGCTTAGAGTCCCAGACTCTTTCCTCCTGATTTCCTAGTGCACAAAGCGGTGGCCATTCTGTCTTTTCCTTTAACAGGAACTGCCCTTCTCTCCTATATTAATTTATCTCCTGTTGGCAAAGCTACTAGTAAGGAAAGAGACACACTTAAAACAAATTAAGAAAATATGCTGACCTTATGCTCATCATATTTAAAATTTCCCTTTGTGTGCTTGATTTCTGATTTCTGTTTTATCATCTCATCATAGATGGTTTGCCAGAGTTGCTTCATTTTTTTGGTAAGAAAGTAATTTATAATCCAGATTTCAGATGAGAGGAGGAGGGAGCTACCAGTGGGGTGGTCCCCAGGAACTGAGCCCACCTCCAGAGAGCAAGGTGGCTGCTCCATCAGGAAACAGGTCTAGAAGGCACTGTTGAATGAACTAATGCTTATGATGTGGCTTTGGGAGTTACATCTTCTCAAAACATTAGACTTGGAGAAAGCCGTTTCTTTATAAAATCTATAACAATTGAACTTTCTTTTTAGACAATCATAATTCTAGAGTGACTATTGATATAAACACACAGGATGTTTTAAAACAAGATTAACCATATAGGGCAGCTTTTTGTTTTGGTTGCAGAATCTCTACAAATGAAGATTAAGATATTAATGCTTCCACGTGTTTATTATTGGATAGGTTCTCCTTGTTCACAAGAATTAAAATAACTCCATTTTGTCATCACAAAAGATCCACTAACATTTTTATGACCACTCCATGTAAATCACCCGTCCCACCCTAGCTCACTCAGCCCTATCAGCGAAACCAAATCAAAGGTAAAACATGCCACCTCATGGCCCTGGGTATAAAAATTAAAGCCAGTATGGTCTTTAAAATTTTTAGAGTTCAAAAGTTTAGAAATGATTGAGATTTTCATATGTAAGTAATGTCCTGACAGCACTGCCCCCAGTGGAAATGACTGAGGTATCCATCAACATGAGCAGCATCCCTCTGCCCTAAAGCTTTGCCCAAAATCACATTTTGGATCCTGAAGGCTCTGGTCATCCTGGGCTCTCTTCAGTGCAGAAGTGAATGTAATGCAATGTTGTAACAGTACATCAACTCTTTTGTGTCGGTGCCAGAGTAACAGTCCCAAATTCCAAACTGTTTGCTATTTAGCTCTGTGCTGAGCACGTTGTAGTTTTAACAACCCAGACAGTCCCTATAAGAGTGAGGATTTAGTCACAATATTGTTGGTCTATGTGACAAGTTTTAATGGGGAAAAGGTTACATTTGCATATTCTCTAGTTCCATTAACATTTCTAAAGTGAAGCCCAGTCAGGAATGAGATATGAGTTTGGCATCTTTAGGAAATCTTAGGTGGTTCTCATTTCTTATTCTTTTCTTTTGCATCTGGTTACATTTAATACTTGACATTTCTTGAGGGCCCACTCAATGTGCCAGAGAGCGCTCCAAGCAGCTCATGTATATTATTTCTAATCATCCCAACAATGCTTCCAGGTAGGGATCATTATCTCAATATGACAGATGGACCCACTGTATGTGTATTCTGAGAAAACCTCACATTCCAGCCCATAGAGATTCTGCAACAAAAGAATTTTTGAATTTTTTGAATTTTTGAAAACTTCTGAGTTTTTGAATTGCTGACTAAGACCTTCCTTACCCAAATAATATATTTTAAAATCCTTACACCATCATGGATTTGATATTCTTTTATTGTTAACACTATTAGAGATGTCCCCCTGTTGACCACCCTTTGGCCAGTCCGATACCATCTCTACCCCCCCCCCCCCCGACTCTCCCACCCGTCCCCTCCCTGTGTTCTGTTACCTGTGTTCAGAATAGCCTTTCTTTTCTTTCTACCTGTGATGCAGGCCCTTGGGTCCTTCCTTTGATCCTTTGGAGTATCCATCTGTTTTACGTTTCTGTGTGTGTGTGTGTGTGTGTGTGTGTGTACATTCACACAATGCATTTTCATGCATGTAAGCATGCAGTCCCTAAGACTGTTCCCCTAGAGATCTTGCTCCAAAGGTGTTCTTTTTTAAAAATATATTTTTTGATTCTCCACAGAGAGGAAGGGAGAGGGATAGATTGTTAGAAACATAAATGAGAGAGAAACATCGATCAGCCGCCTCCTGCACACACCCCCACTGGAGATGTGTCGGCAATCAAGGTACATGCCCTTGATCAGAATCAAACCTGGGATCCTTCAGTCCACAGGCCAATGTTCTGTCTACTGAGCCAAACAGGTTTCAGCTAAAGGTGTTCTTGATGTATGCCATGCAAACCTAATAGAATCATTACCATCTGGTTAATAAAACAGGCTGAAATGAATTCTTTACCAATCATTTTCCAATGGCACAAGCCTACCTGAATTCATCCTGGCCATCTAGTGTCTTTACATGTCACTTCTCATTTTAATTTACAGGTATTCTGTAGATTTAAAAAAAAAAGTGTGCAAGAATGTAATTTTAGGAGGCTGCTCTTAAAAGAAGAGGGACTGTGCTATCTTGATGTTGCAAAAGTGGTTTAGAGTCATGCAACAAAAGGAAATTAAATTAAAAAGAAAAATAGGCTTCCTGTGTTTTAATCCATAATTGCTCTCCACTGTGATCACATAGCCAAGAAAACATCAATAGTTTGTCCATTATCAGCAATCATTTAATTATGTTTTGTGGCAAATGCATTACTGTGCCATATATGTCCTTTTGAAAATGTGTGTGTGTGTGTGTGTGTGTGTGTGTGTGTGTGTGTGCGCGCCTAAGATTTTAGGTAAATTTATTAAATGCTCACTGCATATTAAATTAAATGTTTTATATTTCCAATAAAAATAAACTAAGCCAGTTCAAAAGGACTCCTATTCCATGTCTTCAGTAGCTCTAAGAGAAACACCAACGTGTTCTAAGATTTGCTTGACAACCTCTCCCAGTTGTGATAAAGGAAAGATAAAGAGAACAGGTTAGAATCTACGAGGAAACTTTTAACCTCTGTCTGCTCCTTTCTCTCTCTCATTTTTCATGAGTCTTATTCTCGGATGACTGCCCTGACCTGGCATCAGCAGGATGTATGCTTTTGAGCTGTTTCTCCAGGAGTAGAGTGGTTGTTACAAAGTCTCCTCCTAGTTTCTCTTCTTCCCCATCCTTCAGATAAATAGGACACTTTTGTGGCTCCTGGGGTCAAGTTTTTATCTATGGTCTCAGAGGTTGCTTTTTTATTTCTCTGTTTTTTAAAAAAATGGCTTTCTATTAGATGAATAGAATCCAAATAGTTGGCCCTCTTAACTTGATATTATAATTGGTTGAACTGACTTCAGAAAAATCTTTGTTTAATGGTGCAATCAACCTTATGTTTTAGAATGGATTTAAGTATCTTAGGGCATTTTTCTTAAAATTACATAAACAACCAGCTTCTTGGAGTATCTAAGATATAAAAAGAAAAATACAGAAAAACAATATACAATGCATTAAATGTGTTAACATTGTATGGCTAATCTCAGTTCTTTAAATAAATAATTTCCTTCTTGTTGATGCACATTTATCTTCAGAAAATTTTTTTAAAGAAGAGGTAATAGCAATAATGATAACCATTAAAAAAAACAATATTAACTGTTATTATGACACTGTTGATTGTATCCATTCAGTTATATTTCTTTTTCTCTGATAATTTAGTTTAACACTGTACTGGAACCAGACTGTTGAAATACTATATTAGAAAATAAATGTGACCTTGTAAATTATCTTTTTAAGCCCTAATTTAAAAACTATATATTAATAAAATCAGGTGCTATTTTAAGTCATTTTTTTTCACAATCTTCATACACATGTAACTCTAGTTGATACATCTATGAGAGTGTACGTAGACACACATGTAAGATAGTATATGTGTGAAATAGTTTATATATATATAGAAACCATTTATTTATGGAAGTCTTCTTAAGTGGGTTCATGTGTAAGGAAACCAGAACAATTGTTTGTGAAATATTCCATAACTGAAAAGATAACTGAGTGTGGACAGTGTGGCAGGATTCCTCGCTCATGTTCTCCTGCTTCCTTCTGTTCAGAGAATTTGGATGGAGAGATCCGGAGCTGCCTGAAGTGATTCAGATGTTGCAGCACCAGTTTCCTTCGGTCCAGTCCAATGCTGCAGCCTATTTACAGCACCTCTGCTTTGGAGACAATAAAATTAAAGCCGAGGTAAGCGCTACTGGATTCTCCAATGACCAGTGCCAGGTTAATCATCAGTGAGGTTTTTGGAATAATATTACAACAGGAAAGAAATAAGAAAAGCTTGAAAATGTTGAACCATTTAAAAGAATGAAACATAGCATTTTCCATTTAATTAACTGGTGTGCCTACCATTCCATTTGCACTTCTTTAATAAATGAACACTGCAGAGTGGAGGAGAAGGATACATGTGTTAGCGTTAAGAAAAGTAAGATTGTCAACCGCTGTACTTTGGGTATGATTTGCCTTTCTCTTCCCAATTCCATCTCTGGAGTTGTTTCTGCCTTTTAATCCTACAAAAATACAAAGCATCCTATGTTGGTTCCTCAATTTTCAACAAGATCTCTGTATTCAATCTATGTTATCATCTGTCTTCCCTGGAAAACTCATTAATAAGATGGGAACTTGAGGCAGTAAACCAGCTTTGTGTTATAACCAAGAATTCTAAGTCATTCACAAAAGTACCAGCAGATATAATACACATATGCGTTCCATTAAAGAGAATAATGTCTGTGGCCATCATATAAACAATTGTTAGCATGCTTTGTAATTCAAAAATATGTTAAAGTGTATACATTATAATATTTCAGGAAAATCATGGTGGTAAGCACAGCTAACTCTTAAGTTTTTAGACAAGGGATAAGCATTTGCATATGAGCAGCTGAGTAATCATTTAAAATAAAGATTTTATAAGTTATGAATGTAATTGCTTGCATCCATAGCATGTAAGCAATTTTTAGGATGAGTCTAAATTAGTTTAAGAGAGGAAAGAAATTTGAAGACAGAATTGCAATTTATTATAGGTTTTGCTTGCTTGCATTGAATATATATAGCCTAGCAGCTTTTCATTTTTTTTCTGTCTCTTCCCTTGGGACTCAAAGGACTAGATCCATGCTTATTCTTATCAGGACAGTCAGATTTGTGGAACAAATACAGAGCAGTGGTTCTCAACCAGGTGCATTATCGCCGAAGGGATGTTTGACATCAAGAGACATTTTTTATACTCACCATTGGAGAGGGTTGTAGTGGTGCCATTAGCATCTCAGCCAGGGATGCTGCACACAGGACAGCACCCACCACAGAGAATTAACCAGATCCCATAGCCAGCAGTACCAAAGTTCAGATAAAGAAAAATAGTATCCATCTAAGATAAACTTAAAATGTCAAAACATGCCACCTATTCAACTGTCCTACAAGTAAATTAAGCTTATGTGTGCCAACTGGAAATCATCTTAATCTTTCTCTGTTTTTAATTTTTTTTAAATGGCCATTCAAAATGAAGGACAGATTTCTGCCCAAGGGACCACATACCATCATTTTTTGAAGATTACAACTTTGAGGGTCTCTCTAAGTGTCACAAAAGTATTTAATCCCATTGTTGGTATAAAGTTAATTCAGGAGTGTGTGTTACCCCCACTAAAGCAACATACCCTCCATCTTGAAATTTGGTCTCACATCAAGACTAATGACAGGACACACATATCACGAGGGTGAGTTACTCATATGATGAGGCCTACTGGGGTGAGCAGCATGGCTCACAAGCAGGACCCATTAGGCTTCTGAAAGGAAGAAAGGAGGCTGGCTCAGAGCAGAGTGAGGTTCCCATATGCGGACAGGGACTTACAGAGTTTGAAGTCCCTGCTGATGCCGCAGGAGAAAATACTGAGCTCTCTTATCAGCTTGCTCAGATATGGACAGAGGGGCAGCTGGTGAGGCTGAAAAGCTGTCAGAAGCGAAACATCAAAAGTTGGAGTCCAACTCTATTACAAGGAGTCATGCTGTCAGTCAATACAGATGCCATGGCCTGGGGAGTTCACAGTCACTGGTCTGACTGGCTCAGCTGTATGATCCATGGACTGGCCTTGAAGCCTGTCAGTGGCAGTGAAGCCTGACAGCTGGCTGTGAACATGAGTGGCCATAGCAGAAACGCCCCAGGGCCCTACAGTGGACAAGAGGCGGTGCAATGAAGCAGTGACCAACACACACATCAGTGTCAACAGATGCATCTTCCGATGGCACTTTCCTGCTCAACAGCTGTGTCTCCTGGAACAAGCAGCCTCAAATCCAAGTTCACTGGACCAGTAAGAAAACTTAGGGACAGGGCCTTGGTCTGGTTTATGGAAGTGAATTCTCAGCTTTGTTTTTATATGATCAGACATAATTTTGAGCAAAACTGAATTTCTAGGCTTCGTTATGTGAAAAATGTACAAAGTTCTGTAATAAGGAATGAGAAAGATAAGATTTATGACCTTGCAAGCCTCTTTTTTTTTTTTTTTTTTTTTTTTTTTTAGTCTTTAAAGGAGAACTGCTTATGCCTCCATTGTAGAGTCTTTGTAGGGACTAAGTAACTGAATGTATGCAAACTGACAGGCTCCAAACACTGCCAGGACCTCATGATAATGTTTCCCTGGGACCTGGGAGTCTGGGATGAGAATAAAGGAAAGAGTGATGTAGGCTGATACCAAGTTGACAAAGTAAGATGGAAGTTAATAAAATTCAAAGGAACAGGAAAAGTGTGAAGGGCCTAAGTAAAAATATAAAATAAGTCATCTGGAGTTTCCCTTTCTCATTCAGTCACACAAGGAATGCACATGTGTTTGTATGTGTGCCCGTGTACACACATGCACACTCAGAGAGATGTGTAATTTTGCATAGACCTATTCTGTTCTCTCATCCTAACTCAGGGCAGAAATCATTAGTAATAGTCCTCTCTTTGTGACAGATGACTGCCAGTCATGTTTTCATACACAGGCATTGATTTTTGTAATTACCTGTTGTCCAAATACTAATCTTGCAGGCACTAGCCTTTGCAAATTTACTCAGTCTTCTAGTCTTTCTTTTGCATTTTATTCTATTGATTTAGCTCTTCAGTCTACATTTCATTATTGGTATTGACTTTGCTCACACAATGGATAAGCCATTGAGCAAAAAGCAGGATTAAATCTCCTATATGTGGAGGGTCATAAATCATGTCTTTCTCATTCCTTATTACAGTACTTTGAACAGTTTTCACATAATGATGCCTAGACATTCAGTTTTGTTCAAAATGATTCCAGAACTAATGAGAACAGAGCTGAGAACTCACTTCCATAAATCAGCAGAACAAGTTTTCCTGCCGGTCTGGTGAACTTGGATTTGAGGCAATCATCAGGGAGGTGGGACCGAGAGAGAGGACCCAGTATGGTCAGTACGGAACCACCTGTGACTAAGGTAGAGTCTGCAATCCACTGGCTGCCCTGACTCAGGGTAGAACACTCAGTTATACATACTTTGAAGATCAGCAAGTGTCCAAAAATTGGGATATGATGGCATAATGCAAACTGGAGATCCCATCCAGACTAAGATCAAAAGAAAAGCAGTTGAGGAAAAATTGAAACACATGGGGAAGGAGGAAGCAGAAGGAGAGGGTCTGGGTCATTCCCACCAATGCACCAAGTTTGTGCAGTGCATTTACATGAGCTAATGAATATCTGATGTGTCGATGGGTCTTCCTACTAATTTCAAAGGCAGAGCCACGATTGGATGGATGTCAATAATGTAAGAACTATGTCTGCCATATTCTACCTTCAGAATTGTTGGGACTGTCACAATAAATTGAACTGCAGATAATCTGGATAGTTATTAACATGAAAACTTGCTCATGTGTGTATACTATAGGCATTTTTTTTTAAAGTTGTCTAAATGTTTGTTACTTCTTAGTATTTTTCCACAAGTCTTTCTTTATTCTCTCTGGGTACTACTCAAGTTATGAATTTTAAGGACATCCCATAGGTTCGGGGACAATACGAGGTGCCTGTTATGGGTTGTTGGTTATTTACTCTCCTCTCTTGCATCTCCCCTCATTTCTTCTCATGCACACGTTAGAGCAGGTGTACTGCTAGGCACCCATAGTCACACCTGGACAATCATACACAAACGGGAGCATATATGTCTGTGTGTACGCTACATGGTAGCATTCAAGGTGATATGTGATATGTGATCTAGGGGTTAAAAAAGTATTTGCTCATTTTCAAAAGACAGGAATGGATTATTTTTTAATACTTAAAATTTTTAACTTTTGATTTATGTCATTATAAATTTTAAAATTCAATTTGAGTTTTAAATTAATACAATAAAAATTTTAAACTTAAAATGTTAGTTTCCCCATGTATATTTTAAACATAAGACCATTCACTTAAATAACATACCTTTTTAAAAAACATTCAAATCTTCTTATGTGATGTGATGTGGGAAGGACTGAACTATGTTTACTTCTGTGTGATGGAAATGACTGGTGACTACCACTGATGAAGATTTAATTTACTTTTTTGACCTTACTTTCTCATTTTACATGAAAAATTAGCTTTATCTATCAAATATGCAACCAGAGTGTTCCAAGTGTTTGAAGGTCTTATACGGTAAACTTACACAGTTTGAAGATGAGAACAATTTATGTAGGAAACCAATGATAATTTTATCTTCCTAATTCCTAACAAACCTCTTATTAATTGCCTTACCCTTCTACTTCCAATAAAGCCCTTTTTTGTTTTTAAAGAAATTGATTTTTTAGTTCTAGTGGGGAAAAGTTTTGTGTTTAGTAGGGGAATCAAATATTAAGAATGTATAAATCCTATCTTAAGGAATCTATAACCACCTGGACAGACCATGGATAAACAGGGCCCTATCACATCCAGTGTTCAGCCCCTTTGTAGGGCAGGTCCCCTACGGTGCTTAAGTTCCAAACCCAGTCTCATGGAGTTAGGGAGAGCTTCCTGCTTCCTCTAGTGATTATAACACAAAATTTTAAATTAGAATTTTCCAGAATAATATAGTTAATTTATACTCACTTAGAATTGACAGAAGAGGCTCAGATTTAAGGGTATAGGTCCTTTGGAGAGTATATGTGTGTGTGTGTGTGTGTGTGTGTGTGTGTGTGTGAGGTCCTTTGGAGAGAGAGAGAGAGAGAGAGAGGGAGGGAGAAAGAATATGCA